CTATGAGTCGGTTCCGACTCGATGGCTCCTGACAACAACAACAATTACTCAATAAAAATAAGGCAACATATAATATGACAAAATAAAAGAAGTAAAAAGTATTTGCTCCAGATTAATTGCACAAACTTACTTATAAGACAAGCATGAGACCACGTAAAATGGGAGACAACACAATACTGACGAATGAACACAGACTTTGGGTAAGAATTGGGTTCAAATCCTAGCTCCTTCACATTACATATACGACCACGAAAAGGTTCTGTTCTTTGTGCTTCAGACTCCTCATATATAAATATGTAATATTTAACTTACAAGGTTATAAAACAAAAATAAGACCAGGTATTTACAGTTTCTAGCACAGTAGCTGAGGAACCCGAGCTCCACAGTGGTTAAAGCCCTCAGCTACTAACCAAAAGGTAAGCAGTTTGAACCCACTAGCCACTCAGTGGAGAAAGAGGTGGCAGTCTGCTTATGTAGATGTACGGCCTTGGAAGTATTATGGGGTGGGGTTCTATTCTGTCCTGGAGGATCACTGGGAGTTGGAATCAACTTGGTGGCAATGGCAATGGGAGCACAAAATCCAAAACCTAGTGGTACCCAAAAAGTAAGTTTGATTCTAATGATATTGTTGTTAAATGTTGTCAAGTCAGTTCCTCCTACACAGTGACCCTGTCGGATTTTCGAGGAGTGACTGGTGAGTTTGAACTGCCAACTTGCAATTCAAACCGGCCTTATTCTGTGGCAACACATCAGGAGAGTGAGTGACCAATGAGTCATCAAATGGCTATTTATTTATTTGGATATGAAGCTTTTGGAAAATCTGCATCTGAAGTCTAAAGTTTTAAGCATCCTAAAGCCTCACTGTTGACGTGGGTTATTTCTGTAAACTTCTACCATTCCCCAATTGAGCAGATATTAAAAAACAAAACAAAAAATCCATCACACCTATTGTTGCTGAGTCAATCCCAACTCACAGTGCTCCCACAGGACAGAGCAGAATTGCCCCTCATGGTTTCCAGGGCTGACAGTCTTTATGGGGGCAGACTGCCTCAACCTTTTCTCCTGGAACACGTGATGGGTTCAAATGACTGACCTATTTAGTCAGCAGTCAAGCATTCTAAGCACTGCACCACTGGGACTCCGGAAGCAAAAGTTCTAAATAAACACAAAAGGGTTTTCTATGGTATTTATACACCATAGCTTATTGACATGTTAGCAATTACATATACTTTACAATTACATGACTTTTAGATCACACACTAAAAGGCTTTTAGAACGAATTGTAAACTGAAATGTCACTATAATACCTTTTTAAATAAAAACCATGAAAAACAGATATCTACATCACACCCGGTGTGGTGCTTTCTGCCAGTGGCTGAAACCCGCCAGCCACTCCTCAGAAACCCGACGAGTGGGAACCAACTCTACAGCACTGAACAACAAGAATTAAAAAGGATAGCAGTCATAACAAAGCATCTCTACAATACAGTAGAAAGGACAAAGGCTACCATTTTCAAGCATATGTGTTCATCACATTGCTTAGAGATTATCATCTGCTGATATAGCTATATAGAGGACTTAAAACCAGTCAACGTCATGTGAAAAATGAAAAAAGGAGCTGAGACTGTTTACCCTGAAAAATAAGAGACTCAAAGTAAATATGAACAGTCTTCAAATTTCTCACATGTAAAAGAGCAGCCATTTATTCTGTGTAATTCCTGAGGAAAGAACTAAGCCAGTGCATCTAACTTACAGGGAAACAGATATCAACTCAGTAGAATGCCTGATTTATGAGGTACTTACTGTGTAGCACTGTGAATTAACGCACTGGACTGCAAGGTCACTTTGAACCGCAAGGTTGGCAGTTCAAGCTCACCCAGCCACTCCTTTGAAACCCTATACAGGGTCGCGATGAGTCCGTACCAACACAACAATAATAACAACAGGCACTCCCCATACCACCTAGCAAGGACTGTGGATACTTACCAGTATATTGTACAGGGACTCATAGATGGAGAGTTACATGAGATTATTTTAAGACTTATTTCAGCTCTAAAATGCATCAATCAGAAAGAAATAAGCCTACTAGAAAATAAATCTTTCCTAAATAAGTTTTCTAAGCAACATAGGTAAAACAGTTGTAGAAAATGAAATCATTCTTTCCTCACCTCTACACAAACTGAAATAAACCCAATTACAATTTACCTACTAACTTTGAGTAAATTTAAGTCAAAATATCATCTTTCCATAATAATTTATAGGAGGAGTCCTAATGTGGCTCTGTCAGATAAACACTGGAAAAAGCTTAGGTAAATCATATTAACTATCACAGCACATGGACTGTATGAATCTATCACTTAGCTTAAGCGAAAGAAAGGCAAATTACTGTTTAGTTAGACCAATCAGAAAAATTTTAATCCTAGTTTTACTCAATAGTACATGTTAACAAGTTCATATAAATTACACTTACATACACAGAACTCTATTACCTCTGAGTTAGCATACTCGGCCTGTAACTTCTTGCATTCATCTTTCAGTTTTTCCGATTCTCTCTCACGTTCCAAGGTCATGCTGTCCATTAGTGTCTGAACTTGGATCAGTTCTCTCTTCAGCACAGCAACATCTTCGATACCAGGTCTCTGAAGCTGTGAAGCAACACATTTTCATTAAAAATGATTAACGAAAATAACATGTACTTTTAGAATGGTTTTGCTACAAAGAAATCAACATGAGAACAATATCTAATATCAATATTGGATTAAAAAAAACTAATCCCCCACCCCAACAAACCACCTCCTCTTTCTACCCTCTCTATCTCAAATTTAATAACACAACCTCTTAAAGGGGAGCATGTGCATACGATAAGCACTGAACTGTAAATCATAAGGTCTATGGTTCAAGTCCACCAGCCAATCCACAGGAAAAGTTTTGGAAACCCTGAATAGGGTCGCTATGAGTCAGAACTGACTAACTCAAAGACACTTAACAACAGCCTCTTAAAGTGCAAAGTAGCAAATTCACAGTTTTCTTCAGTGCTTTGCTTGTTTCCTCCCCTTCACAAACTAAGTCCACTGGTCTATAGTATGGTCCTATCATTGATGCTGCAAACCGTCATTTAATATCCTAGGAGTCTAGGAATAAAAACGAAGGAGTATATTTAAGCATATTTAAATTTTGCTGCTGGGTGAGGTAATAGATTCATACATCCAAATACTTATTAAGCAAAGAACTAAAAGGACTCAGGGAAAGATCCAACATTAAAGCTGAGTTGAGCAATGATGATGCATGATACCAATGACACAAATTCAGCTATGAAGGAAATATGATAATTTTATACTTGTTGAATTTGAAATTAACTTGAAATGAAAGAAATGTAGCTGCATGTATCCTTCAGATTGTTGTTATTGTTGGTAAGTGCCATCAAGTTGGTTCTGACTCATAGAACCACTGTCTAGGATTTCTGAGGAGCAGCTGGTGGGTTTGAATCACTGACCCTGTGGTTAATAATCCAGTGTTTATCCTACAGTGCCTCACCAGGACTTTTAATGTAGTTGGATATATAAAACTAAAGCTCCCAGAAAGGTCACAAATAGAAAAGCAGGCATAGAAACCACTAAAAGACAGGTAGCTATTGAGACAAAAACAAATAAAAAGGCTAAGGTTGTAAGTTATGCATCATAAAATTCAATATTTATTTTTTAAACACACATATTGCATATATGTGTTTTTTAAACACATACTACATGAAATTTATTTTCTCCCTTTTAGTCAAATGATATTTTTAAAGGAGCCCGTGAGTGCTAAAAGCAATGAAGACACTCAGATGCTAACAGGAAGGCTGCTAACCGTGATGCACCTCAGAAAAAGCTCTGGCAATCGACTTCCAAATTATTAGTCACTAAAACCCCTAGGTACACTGTTCTATCAGACACACATGAGACCACCAGGAGCCAGAGGTGATGGTGAGTTGATATGCAACAGTTGATGGCAACTGGTTCATATTTTTAGAAATTTCCCTGCAGAGCATGTGTTTGCTTCATAATTTAGAAAACCATAAAATTCCATCTCAATACAATGATTTCTAAATTACCAGCTCAGTCTTCAGATCTTGGTTTATAGAGGTCTCTCTGTTCAATTCTTCAGTCAGATGTGTCATTCTTTGTTCAGCAGCTTCTCGAAGACTCCTCTCTTCATCATATTTTGACTTTATATCTAATTAAAGACAGTTATGTAAGTACTATAAATATATAAATTATAAATTTCAGACAACTGTTTTGTATAACTCTATGAGGATAAGTCAAAAAGTACTGCTACTAGAGTTCCAATTCATAAATGCACAGGTTTCTTCCATACACAATTATATTTAACCACGTCTCTGAGATTAGTGGGTGCCTGCAGACAAGTTTTCTCAGTCATACACTTGTCATAGTCCTGTAGGGGTGCCTTAAAAAATGCAATCAAAATAGTATATTCTAAGGGGATCTGCTGAGCCAGTTAAATTCAAGGTAGAGAGGTAAGCTTAGAAGGCTATGACAGCTTTTTGGGGAGACTGAGATGTGGTAATCTTCATAGATTTTCTCAAAGGGCATGGGGTGATCACAGGAACTTACTAGGAAGAAAAAAGCAACTAAGAAAACTGCACTGGTGAGGAAGAGGCCGGAAAAGTTGCACTGAATAATTGTTTCCCACTACAACACTGCACCTGCTCATTCTTCAAGGGTACCAAGGAGTGTCCTGTGAGAATTTTGTTGGTAAGTATACCCTAATTCACCATACAACCCTGATTTTGCCTTTTCAGACCTATTTTAGTGCCTGAAACTCAAAGACCACTGAAAAGGCACATAATTTGAGTCCCTCAGGGATATTATAATTCCATTTGGACATGGTGTAATGTAAATGAAAGAGTGCAGAATTCTTCAGGGAAGGATTAGAGAAATGTAAAAAACACCTTCACAAGCGTAAACACCTAGATGAGATGGCAAGAAATAATAGCTACGCATTTTGATATTTTTGTTAAATAAAGGTTTCTATGATTTTATAATAATGCTTTCTGACATACCCTCATCTACCACTCTAATTCAAATGTCCATTCCTTATATAACCATACATATATAATACTGTAAAATCATACTACTAATAATATTAAAAAGGAGCTCTGGTAGCGTAGTGGTTA